AAAAAAAATAATAATAATTCTTATGGTTATTAATTAATAGCCCTGTAAGATTCAGAAATGTCTTTTCAAAGAGCCAAGCTCTTTGTACATCAACTGTAATATGAGCCCAGTTTGGGAGCTTTTTGTAAAGCTAATGTACAGAAGTTATAACCTAAGTACTCACAATTGAACGCAGAATACTCACTTTATTTTGTCTTTTATTTTGGGAAAGAAAGGTTGGAAAGCAAATTATGTGTCTGGACCTTTTAGGAAGTAGTCTGTAGCTTCCTTATTTAGATACATCAGTTTGAAAGCTGGCTGACCTGTACATTATCAAGGAAGGAATTGAAATCAATTTAAGTTTCCTTGTGCTACAAACAAAGTCTATTAGGTTTTCAGATGAACTTTTGAAACAGATAATGTATGGAATAGTAAAGAGCAGAGGCTCAGAGTCAGCTTGAATCTGTGGCCCTGAGCCTCCCTTCTAGGAAATAAGGGCAGGGCTGGGAGTGTAGCTCAGTGGTAGAACACTTGCTCAGCAGCTCAAGGCCCTGGGTCCAGCCCTATCACTGGGGAAAAAAGTGATAACTGCACTCCCACACTGAAGTTGGAGCCAAGGTACAGGTTTAAGTTCATCTGCGGTTCCCCAGTTACATGAGTTTGCAGTGTAATGGCTTAAATGTTCTTAGCCCGCAGGGGAACCACAAGGCCAGGATATGTTAATAGAAGAAGTGACAAGATACCCATCATTTTCGAAGTCATTCATCCCTTCTTCAGATGGACTACATCTAAGTCAGCCTGAGCTGAATAAAATTCTCCTGAATGGCACCCAGAAGCATCCCAGCACCTCTCCACCCAGCATGGCTTATGTAGGATCTGCACCCAGGAGCCCATACGCTGGTCATGGCTGTGACAGGAGACCTCGGAGTGCCTTCCCAAGTACCCACCGGTTCCACCTAGTCATTTCCAAGACCCCCAGTGGAGATCTTTTGGAAAAGCACTCTGACCTCTTTTCGAACAAGCAGTTGCCATTCACTCCACGCACTTTAAAGACAGAAGCCAAGTCCTTCCTATCACAGTACCGCTATTACACACCTGCCAGAAGAAGAAAGGAGTTTCCGGATGAGCGGATAGAAGCTGAGACCCAGACGGAATTGAGCAGGTTTGTACGGCACATCCACAGCAAGGCCAGCAGGTCCGGGGAAATGATCAAGAAGCAGTATTTCTCGCTGTGTTGTACACTTTATATGCCAGCCTTGAGATCTGGCAGTGCCGTTGAGAGGACTTTCCAGTGCATCTTTAGAAGCAGCATAGTAATTGTAGAAAAAATAGATATTAGATTTGTTAAGTTCCTACAAATGAATGCTCCATGAGTTATGGCCGTAAACATAGTTCTCAAACTTTTGTGTGTTTTTAAATGTTGTTATCAGTGAAGTCTAAAGATACATTATCAGATAGCGTTGGTGTAAATATAGAATCATGTTAACAATGGTAAACAGTGAGGCTCAGAAGAGGAAATAAACATTTATCCAGTTCCCCGTGTCTCTTCCTGGCATGTGTTCACACCCTGTATAGTAACAGCTGTGGGTGTGACTTAGACAGTTGAGAGAACATCTGGAAGTTAGGATTTGCCCTGATTTGATTTCTGTCTCCTGTAGTAGATGGTTCCTGATATTCAGTAACTTTGCCAAGTGACTGTAATTTATTGTGTATTAGATTTTAGTTATTCAAAAATTAAACACTATAAGCCTGCTTTTGTGAGTATAGATAAGAGGTGCAGTGATAGCAAATGAACCTGCATATGTTTAATTTAAAAAATGAATTGGCAATGCAAATTTGATAGCCATTTCACGTATATGTTTATGTATATATCACTCTATGTCTGACAATTGAAAAGTATCATGTGACCAAACAGTAAACAACTTTGAAGCCATGTAGTGTGTCAGTTATTTTTCTTTTAATATGTCTCTGTTTTGAATGACTATCATGTACCTGGTATTATGGGGGAGAGAGACAAATAGGAAATTTATGTTGTATTATTTCAAAGATATCTAGCAAATCCTACAAAGATTTATTTTTCATTTCAATAAACATAATCTATATTATTAAAAAAATGAATTGGATCTGTAATAGAAATCATCAGCTGGAGGAGAAATGCAGAAATCATTGATGGATTTGACAACATAGATACTAAAATTGAAATGAGACTGAAGCTTGGCGTGGCTCCTGTGTAAGGATGGCACACAAATTGGGAGTGCCTTCCATGTTTTTCATGAAAGGCACAATAGTGAGTGGGAGGGGCTAGGAGAGGGTGGGCGGAGCAAACAATAATGAGTGGGAGGAGCTAAGAGAGTGTGGGCCGAGAGAGCAAACGGTATAACTAAACTGTCCAAGAACAAGTTTAATCAGGAAAAGAGAAAGAAATGAAAAAATGACCATATCTTTATAAATGTTATAAGGATAGTCTCATTTCTCTTTGCCCATTATATATTTAACTGGGATCTATTTTTCAAGCAAGGAAAAGAAAGCATATGTAAACCAAATAATGTCTATTTCCAGATATATATAATTAGAAATTACGTATTTTCATAAAAGTAAATAGGTGAATTTCTTTGAATTATACTATACCTTTCTCTTGATAGTAAAGCTTGTCACTGTGTTTCTAAAGGAGTAACAGTCATTTCTTTGTAAATGTTGTAGCTTTAATTCGGAGTCTGGGACGGTGGAGACAAAGGACTCAGAAGTGAACTTAACGCAGGTACTGACCATGATCTCTTTCTGTGGTGTTCCTTTTGAGTCGCAGGTGCTCTGACTCGTGTAGAGTGCAGACAGCTGTTTGGACTATCAAGAGTAGTTCATCCCTAGGAGACACTGGTTAAATAGAATGTGGTCAACATGCGAAGGTTTGCCTGTTTGCAGGTGTCGAATGTGCTCTCAGAATGGCCAGATAAATGGCCAGACTCCTACCAAATCTAGGGAGTCATTTGTTATTAGCACCTAAGCAGTTCACTGGCTGGCTGGCTGAACAGGTGGATGAATAAAATGGATTAATGAAAATTTTCAAAAATACAGATTCTGAGAAGCAGGTATGGTGGCATTTGCCTATAATCCCAACACTTGGTAGGAGGATCAGGAGTAGGAGGCCATCCTGGACTACACAGCCAATTCAAGTCTAGCCTAAGCTGTCTAGCAAGACTGTGTCTCAAAACAACCGAGGACTGGACTGTGGTGTGGTGGTAGAGAAATTGCTTAGCATTCACAAGGCTGGATTCAATAACACATCATCCCCACCCCCTGCACACACAGAAAAACAGACAAGTTACTAAAGGTGCTGTCAAAGCTACATAGAAGTTTGAACTTTCAATGCCTGTGTATTTTAAAGAATTGTCAGTGACTATATTATAAATCATAATATCATAAAAGAATCAGTAGAGGGGGTTGAAGAAAGGACTCAGCAGTTAAGAGCACTGGCTGCTTTTCCAGAGGTCCTGAGTTCAATTCCCAGCAACCACATGGTGGCTCGCAACCATCTATAATGAGATCCAATGCCGTCCTCTGACCTGCAAGTATACGTGCAGGCAGAACACTATATACATAATAAATAAATTTAAAAAAAAAAGAATCAGTAGATACCATTGTCTTGCATTTGCCTTTACTTTTATGAACTTTATTACATTTGTTTTTTGAATGTTTAGCAATGATTTATTATAATATAAATTTCCCAGGCAAAGTCATTTAATTTGAGTCATTTCAATCATATATTTATGTCCTAACTTAAATTTATTAATCACAAGCATGGTTTGCATATTTAAATGTCAAAAGCACAGACTCAGGGTTACAAAAATAAAGTATAATCACACTCAACTTCATTTTTCTCTTCTGAAAAAGGGTAGGAAGTTATGGGTTTACAACTCAGCCATTGAAAGCTTTTTGACAGGAGGACCACTTCAAGTTCATGGAGAAAACAGCCTCTGAGAGCCAAGTGTCTTCCTAAAAGACCAACTAACCTGCAGGGTCCTTGGGAGAAGGCAAAGTAGGCATAGTTCCTAGCCTGGGAAAGGCTTGATAAGTGATGCCTATTTTTACCTTGAATTTTTAATGAAAAGAATTAGGCCTGCAGATAACTAAGTAAACTAATGCAGGGCAGGCGAGATTGCCCCCCAGGTAAAAGCACTTAGCACAGAAGAGTGATGACCCAAGTCCCTGGAATCCACTCTGCAAGGAGAAAACTGACTGCCAGAAGTTGTCTTCTGACCTCTGCATGTGTACTGGGGTATGCTCATGCCTGCACTCACACAAACATCATCCACACATCATTCTCATCTTCATATCACTTATAGTGATAAATGAAACTTAAGAATCCCAATTTATTACATTGCAATCAAAATGTTCATTCATAGCCCTTCAAGAAAATGATGGATCCTCACAGTAGTCTTGGACTTGAGAAAGCTAGTGAAATATTAACTACAGTTGATCTACAGTTTACCCACACTTTTAAAACTGTAAAGCACTTTACATAGATCAGCCTTGTAGGGCTGGGGATATAACATATTTGGTAGAGTACTTGCCTAGCATAAACAAAGCCAATAGGACTACATGGACTTGGTATAGTGTGACTGCCTGCTTGTTCCTGTTCTCCTTTTTCTGTATTTTGTTGTTGTTTGTTTAGGTTCTGTCTGTTTTGTTTTGAGACAATGTATGTCTAAGTAGCCCTGGCTGTCCTGGAACTTACTATGTAGACCAGGTTGACCCACCTCTGCCTCTGTGTGCCACCTACATCGATGTGTACCATGTGCATAGCTGGTGCCCAAAGGGGTCAGGAGAGGGTGCTGGATCTGCTGGACCAGAATCAAAGGCAATTACAAGTAGCCATGTGGGCACTGGGAACCAAACCTGGGTCCTCTTAACCATGGAGCCATGTCTTCAGCCCCAGAAATCCATGATTGTATTTCTAGTACTTAGAAGGTAGAGGCAGGATGATCCGCAGTCCCAGGCCATCCTTGGGTACAAAGAGATTTCAAGGCCAGCCTCAGCTACAGGAGACCTGTTCAAACACACACACACACACACACACACACACACACACACACACACACACACACACACAAATAGAACTTTGTAAAGATTAATGCAAATAAAATATTGCCAGGTTTGTGACACGTAGGAAGAATCTGTTCTAAGTAATGTGCCATTGTTTTGTTTGTTAATATTGCTCAGATGCCGTTGCTACGACAGCTGCTTCATGTGTGACACTGAGTGTTTGAAACAGATATGCTTTTGAATTTTTAATAATGTAATTAATGAAATTTTCTCAGATTTACATAAAAGCTAAACATTTGTATCATTTTCATGGGTTTCTGTTCTTACCCTTTTTGTTTTTTTGATGTGGGTATTCACGTGTATATGTGTAAGGGGTGATGTCTCCCATCCAAGTAGTAACCAGACCAACTCTGTTCAGCTTCCAGGATCAGACAAGATGGGGCACTTTCAGGGTGGTGTGACTAGCCAAGCCTAGTAGCACACGCCTTTAATCCCAGCACTTGGAAGGCAGGAGCAGGTCATCTCAGTGAGTTTGACGACAGCTTGGCCTACATTACCAAGTTCCAGGGCAGTCAGAGCTAAATAGTGAGACCTTGTCTCAAATAAAAGAAAATTTAAATTTAAAAGGTGGGTGGCTGTGGACCGCTCATGGTGAGATGAGTCTCTCTTCCCAGGTCCCCAGGTGACCTGTGACCTGTGAACTGTGACCCTCCTCCTTCAGTCTTTCAGAGCTGGGATCAGACATGCAGACTCCTCCCCAGTCTGTTGTTTATGATTTTCTCGTGCCATTTAAATGTTTCTCATTAACATGGGGGAAATGCTGATTGGAGAGATGATTCTGTTTTTGTTTTAATATATCTGGTACTTTTATGTATTTATTTTATTATATTTGCTGTTTTATTTCTTTCACAGCATACTTTTGAAACAAAATAAAATTTATTCTTTTTGTTCCATTTCCAGGTACCTAATTACATGACAAATGATGCTGAAGACCAAATATCTCCGTTGCCCTCACAAGAAGAAAACGTAGACTGGGTCGGGATTCAAGATGGGACTCTGCAGCGGTCCTCCGAAACGTGAGTGACACCTTCCATACTTGAGGGGCTGGCACAGGAGGATCACAACAAGGCTGAGAGGTCATCCTAGGTCTCAGAGTGAAGCCCTGCCTCCATTTGCTTTCCTGTGTAATAGACTCTCGGCATTTACCCTCACGGACTATTTCAATTGCATGTGCTGATATGTTTTAGTAGTACACAATTCTGTGGCACTGTTAGTCTTCCTAAGGAAAGTGCTCAGTAAAGGTTAGAATGAGTCTTGCTAATGTGCTGAGAAAGGGGAAAGGGATGCTGCTAGTTTGCAGAGGTTGCTCTCTCTCCTCATATTAGAAAGGATTATCCTCAAGGCCAAGCCTCTGGCAAGGATATTAACCAGTGTCTCTGACATCAGTAGTTCTGAACCTTACCATTCGATCGCTTCTGTGACTTGGAGACGACAATCTGGCTCAGCAAGCGAAAGAGCTTTCCAAGCAAGCCCGGTAAACAGTTTGCTCCCCAGAGCCCATGATAGAAGTAGGAGAGAACTGACTCCTGATTCACACACACACACACACACACACACACACACACACACACACACACACACACTTCACACTTAACACAACAATTATACTAACAACATTTTCAAAAGCCAAAAAGTTACGTTGTGGAACATTCCCACATGCCAGTGTTTGGTCTGCCCTGCTGTTAGAGATGCCCTTTAAACACTGCACCCATGCTTAGTGACTGTGACGTCACTCCCAGCAAAAATGTGGACCAGCAAGTTTTGGCCCTCAACTGCATTTCCAGTGTAGGAAATTCAGGCTCTGAACTGAAAGGAGAAGAATATTCACAAGAGAAGAATGAGGACATGGTTTGGAGCAGACAGGAAGAGGATGATGCAGACTCCTCAGGGCCCAGCTTCCCCCTCGGGTCTTTACTAGGGAGATCTGGATTTCTAAGACCACAGTAGGTTGAGGACTAACTCCCTGTCCTTGAAACTCATTGCCCAAACAGCACGTAGAGCACATGTGCACACACATGCATGCACACTCCCACAGAATTAAATCACAGATAGGAAAACACTTAGAAATTCCAAAGCATATCATTACTAATGTAGACTATCAATCATGGATTATTTGTATGCCAACCTTTGTTGTTAAAATATTTTACCTTTCTCTTTTTCTAGGACGCTCT